GCGTAAGTCCAAATAGGTTTTAGTAAGTAATTGTATGTGATCAATTTCTGTCTAAGTTTTAGTTTTGAATTTTTCGAAAGAAGTGAACTCAGAATGTTTTTTTTTAATTTAAATTTTTTATTTATGCCAACGTTTCAACTCAAACATGTGGGCCATCTTCAGGGCGTGGTTTGAGCACTGAGGGTGTTCAAGTACTGTGCTCACCCAAGTGATTATTTATCACCCATGATATGTAGAACAGTCGACTAACTTCTTTCAATAATTCATAAAATAAATTAGGAAAGTCACTAGAAACTTTTTTTTATATAATAGAAAGATTCAGATAAAGAATCATATTTCCTATATAGAGAAAGCTAGGGAAATATCTGATTACACAAACTCAATTCATTTGATTTAGACTGCATTTCGCATTTTGAATTTCAGATGTGAGTAAAGACTGAAACAATTTGAAAGATTGACCCCAACTAGAACGGTACAAGATTAGGATGGTACAAGATGCAAATGTACCATCTAAATGGTAATAGAGCTAGCAAGCTCAAACCATCGCTATTGCTCCTGTCCTTTCCATATTCAATTCCACGAGTTGATCCTACTCTCTACTATGGCTGCCTCTCGGTCTTAAATAAATCTCGAGAGATAGTCGTCTTCAAATATTAACTCGGAGATATTGTAGTGTAGCATATACTTTATTAGATTCCTGGGTCCCTTTCTTCCACTTAAGAAGCTATGTAAAGAGGCGGATGGGATTCCGAGTAGAATCAGACTATAAGAGACAGACTACAATAAATTATTATTATTATTGTTACATTCCGAATATACCCGATCGGGTCATTAGCGGCTTTAGATGTAATCAAATTTTTTATTTGTTTATTTAGAAATATTACATTCTGTCACATCAAGGACATTTATAATAGTGTTCAGGGAAAGCACACTCACACTCTATTTACAATAAAAAAAAAAAAAAAAATAATACAGAAACTTAATAATAATAAATACAATAAAATAAAATAAAAATAAATACAATAAAATAAAATAAATGTATATAAACAAAAGAACTAACCTAATCATACACAATCGGGCTTGAGTGGAGGATCTGGCCATTGCCAAAACTCCAATAGATGCTTATTTACAAAAGGTCTCTGGGCCACTGCCGCTTCAACCTTCGAGGAGGATTGTAAGGATGGGTGGTGCTGGATAGAGATTGTGCAAGGAGATTTGGATGATAGGTAAGGTTCTGGTGAAATTTGGAGAACTTTTCTGGAATAAGGTCTAGGACAAATGGGATATTAAGGTCATGGTGTAGGATTTTGTTATTTACATAGAACGGAGCATCAACTATTGTTCGAAGGACTTTAGATTGAAAGGATTGAATACATTTGATGTTAGAAGCTTTAATCAAATATAATATAATATAATCAAATTAGGTGTACAAATTTAATGTATTTTATAAATTCAAATACTTTTTTATATTCTCCTTGTCATCTGAAAGTGCTTCAGATATGTTGGAAGGTATATTATGTTTTGTTCTGGTGTCAGAGTATAGTCTGCAAGTTGTTACAATGTGTTTCAGTGTGATGTGTTGCATGTTTTACAAAATGGTGGTTCCAGGCCTCTCATTAGGTAGCCATGGGTATGTATAAATAATGTTTATGATAAATATATAAAAATAATGTATAAACATTATATAAATAATGTTTGAAATACGAAGTAGTGGGGATGTTGCCAGTAGCAACTAATTCAATTTATTGGGATCTTCCTTATACATTATTTATCAAAAAGGTTTTTTTTTTAATATACCGAATTTTCCTTAATACTTCATTGAATCCAATAAGCCAAGCTTTATTCCAAGAATATTTAATATATTTATATATTTAATATATTTAACAAAATTTGAGCCACTTATAGTCACAGAATTATGTAGTTTACATATGAGTCTTTTTAGCTGTCACATATATCTGTGAGGCATAGGTCCAAATGAGATTAAGTAAGTAATATGTATTCAATTTTTGTCTAATTTTTAATTTCGAACGTATTGAAATAAGTGAATATAGCAGTCGTAGTCTTAAGTTTCGTGTTTTCATATATTTCAAAAAAATATAAATATATGTGTATATATTAATTGTTTTTACTTTAATTATTGGGATCGTGAAAATTTTTGAATCTGTTTTCAACGAAAATACATGTTTTGAAGTCTCCTGAGTCCAAATAACCAAGTCCAGCAAAATGGTATGTATGTGTGAGTGTATGTATGTGGTCAGTCTAGCTCAAAAACGAAAAGTCGTATGAAAGTGAAATTGCATATTTAAGGTTTTTATAAGCCCTCGATGTTACAACAACATTTCTGTCAAAATTGGTACTTTATATGATCGATGATTTTTTTTTTCTTAGTTTTAATTTTCTTATTTTTTTAGGTTTTTTTTTATTTTATTATCTATTGTATATACTTTTGATTATTATTTTGTTCTATGTATTTTATTTTTTTTTGTACATATAGTGTGAATGTCATCCTACCTCACTATGACCAATGTCCAAGAGATTGTTATAATACTCAATAAAGAAATTAAAATAAAAAAAAAAATATGATCGATTTAACACATTTCTACGATTTTCTCAAAAACGTCTCAAAGGATTTTAATTATACTCAATATATCAGTGTATTATTAAGTAGTTTTTAGTGTAATGTAGGTTTTATTCTCATTTATATTTTCTAACAGGGCTTAAATGAATAATTTTCAATATTAGATTCTTCTAAAGTGCTTTTAATTTTATTTATTTGAAATAATTAACCATTTCATATTAATCTTTGATATAAAAATTAGTTAAATATAAAATATGAAAGAATTTGATAATTAACTAAAAGAGAAATAAGAGATCGTAACGGATAATAGTTGTAATTGAGGAATCAAAGGAATACGAGCTTGCCCGAAAGATTACAACAGGCTTCCATACGTAACATGAGCTTAATATAATACGACAATATTATGTATGTATACATATGCAGTTTTCATAGATGCTATCGTTGGTATAATGTAATATTTAATTGTATAGATTATATAAGGGTATTTAAACAAATAAAAATACCCACAATGAAATGTAAATAAATATTCTCAATAATTTTTACTTTCACTTCGCCTTTGTGTGAAAATACTTATTTCTGCTAAGAAGAGAGTGTTAAATGAAAGTCGTGTGGTTTTTTCAGTCGTTTGATCACCATATTTTTGTTTTTTTGGTATAGCTATATTTAAAAATATGTTTATAAAGCAATTGAATATATTAAATACTTTTATTTGAAGGATTGTGGTAGTGAGATGAATGCTCAATTCATCGCTGCCTCTAATTTACCACGGGAAATAAGATACAATCTTAACGTAAAAATAGGAACATCTAGTCGACTCTTCCAATTTCCCAAATTGATTTTAGTTTACATATACTTTATTCATTCATGTAAATTAATTTATATTGATTTTGATTTTATTTGTCTTCTGCAAAATTTTCTCGCCCTCTCTCTATATTTATTGAAGGAAGAGGCGTATGTATCCATGAAGTCTGCCATGCGATGCTATGACCATGATAATTTGTTAGCTATTTTAAATAACAAAGATTGATTCGTTTATTTTCGAAGTGATTTTTTAAAATCGAGATAAATATCGATTGCGAAGTAAAACTACCAACCAATTCGATAGTGATTTTTTTTCCAAAAACAAAAGTGTGTGAAAAAATTTTATTTTCACTTATTAATTTTATTAATAAATCAAGTTTATTATACCATTAGAACGTTGAAAATTGACATAAAAAATCGATTAAATCCTCCACCCACTCAATTGTTTTTATGAATGAACAAACATCTCCGAGAAAATCCAAAAGCAGCATAAATAAGAAAGTTGATCCTTACTTTGGTAAATTATATATACAACTATTATGATGTGACTAATTATTTGACAACTCCTTCTGAATAATGAATGAAAGAAGCAAAACGAATTTATCATTTTAAAACTGCTAATTCATTAAGATCCATTGAATAGCTGCATTGGTGTCAAAGGCTACGTCACAAGCCACACCTCGCCCATTCATCATTTCTTGGAGCAAATTGCGGACATTCTGGAGGCAACTTATCATTCTTTATGTTATAACTAAAAAATATTCCAACAAAATCTTTTTCTCGGATCTTTTTAATTCCCATCCTTATTATCCCCTACTCTATCTGAATGGTCAACGTATTCGCTTCCAAAAAAAGTTTCGGGCTAAACCCCTTTCGTCCCAAAAAAGTTAAATCCTGGATCCACTAGTTGTCCAGGTGGGTTTGAGATTTTCAATTTCTTTTTAGAAGAAAGTGGTACAGTATTTTCAGTCGCTTGTTTAAGTCTATCGTTTCATTTTGACTAGTAAACCCCTTTTTTTGTCTGGGAAACTTGGTTCTCGCCTATATAAAATGGTGGGCACGTGTTTCGTCAAAGTGTAAATTTCATTCGCTCATTTAACATGAAGTAGGTGATAAATAAAACCGAATAGCTGCGGCGATCGGTTTACACAAAGTTGGAAAATGTAGATCAGAGATTTTCAACACTTTAAAACCTTTGGGTATCAGCCGTATGTTTGTGTACCGCACTATAAATAGATATAATGAGGCCCTATCTGTATGTGACAGACTTCGACCAGTCCCCGCAGTGTTAGAGCAGCCAATGCAGTGAGAGCAGTGGCTGCTCGAAACATAATAAATCCCATTCGAAATCAACGAATCATGTCTCGGGAAATTGGAATCTCTGTCAGATCAATGTCTCGCATAGTAAAAGGTGACCTTAGGATGGCTGCATTTCGAAGAATGGATGCAAAGTGCTCCTTGGCCGTTACACCAATGTTCTTCATCGAAATATTTAGCGATGATAAAATGTTTACAATTGAAGTAAAATTTAATCGCCAAATGATCATGGTACGCAAACAGCTCTAAAGAAGCTCAGGAAGTCATTGGAAGAGTGAAATGAGATCGTCGCCCTTTCTCAGTGATGGTTTGGTGGGAGTTTGCTTTGATGGCACCACAAAGCTCCATTTTTGTGAAAAAGGAGTTAAAACAGCCGCTAAAAAACTATCAGGACGATATTTGGAAATCTGTTTTCAAGCCTCTATATGATACTCCGCTGGAAGTCCTTGGGTTTTCCAGCAGGATTTCGCTCCAGCTCACAAGGCCAGGTCAACTCAGCATAGGCTGCAAAAGAACATTCCAGAGTTCATCTCTGCCTCGGATTAGCCCTCAGGAAGTTCTGATCTCAACCTACTAGATCATCAGCTTTGGTCCGAACTGGAGAGGATGGCATGCCACAGAGCACACCCTAACTTGGAAAGCCTCAAACAATCTCTGGTCCGAGCAGTTGAGCGCTTTCCTCAAGAAGTGCTGCGTGCTGCTATTGATGACTGGCCACGGAGATTAAATGCCTGTGTCAAGGCAAAAGGGAGACATTTTGAGTAATTTCTTTTTTGTTTTACTCTTTACAGATATACATTTTATTTTCTAATAACGTTTTAAAGTTGGAAAAATTAATTTTTCTGTTTAAATCTGTATATATTTTCTTGTAACAGTATTTACGACAGGACTTGATATTTTGTGATGTGTCATGATTTAATCTTTTTCCAAAGCGAGTATCAATTTTGTAAATTCATCGAGGTTAGGTCGAGGTTATGGTATTTTATTAAAATTGTTGTATCATCGGCGTAGGTGGCGGTTTAGGAATTGATAGGTCTGTCAGGCGATTAAATATTGTAGAATGCAACCATATATAACTTGAAACAGCATGCATTACCCTTCCAAATGATAAAATAACATTGAGTTTAATGAGATTTATTATAATATAATTTTTTTTAAATGTCTTCGTTTCGTGGTGTAGTGTAGTAGATAATTTGGCATCGAATTACCCTATTATCGGTAGATGTTAATATGGTTAGTTACCTGAATGTCCTAAACGTGATTCTGCACAGAGAACGTTTCTTAATCCCCCGCATGAATACAAAGCTTCCCTACCTTAGGAAATGAGGAAGATTAATCCAAGCATTTAATACCAAATAATACGTCAGAACTCATTAAATATTAATACAATCGTAAACATATCGTATATTCCATTAATCAATTCATTGGCAGTTATTTGGAGAAAGACTATTTTCTTCTTAGTAGTTGTTCATAACTCTGGAAAAGAAGAAGAAGAAATTACTTGCAAGGATAAGAAATAGGTCCGAACTAAGAACACTTCAAGAAGAGGTCCTTAAATATCTCACCAGCCCTGATAAATATATCCTGGAGGGAATTAACCCTAGTTGAGTAATAGGTCCTAGATCTCCAACGTTGAACTCTCTCAGGTTTTTCCTTCTTACTTAAGAGTGGATACTACTGACTCTAGCACATCTTATATCCTATCTCTATTTTTTTCTTCACCGATTTTTTTTTTTCGAAGAAAAAAAGAAACAATTAACCACAATCCAAAAAGTTAAACTATGGGTTAACTTTTCTTAGAACCAGTAACGTATTCGGGGAGGGGAATGCTTTCGGTCAAGATATAAAAAAGAATATTTTTTCCTTGGTCTATCTCTTTCTATGTTACTAATACTTAAACTATCACAACATTTTGGTTTATTTTTTCAATAATAAATCTTTTCAATCGACCAAGACAAAAAAAATTAATCTCACACTCAAAGTTTGACTATGCACTACTCTGAGTACTGAATACCAAGTATTTTACTGAAATACTGACCTTTTTTTTTTTGAGTATCAAAGAATTTCATTACTACTTCAGTTGATGTCAAACGATGAACTGAATTGATGGAATTTGATTCAATTATGATTCATTACTTATTGTTTACGCCCATATCTATCTATTGTTTATTCCTACTATATCTAGATCTTATTCATTTTTAATTTATTTATTAGTTAACCATCATTTTCTTTATCTGTTAACCTACATTTAACAAATGTAACCTTTACCAGTTTGTTATCCACTCATATATTATATTTTATCACAATTTGTTTACTTTTAACTTACATATATTTTTATTCACACTTATTCTCTCTTTTTGTTTTAATCCTCTATATATGTTACATTTGATATTTTAACTAAACTGTCACTCACTATATTTCTGATGTCATCTTATTATTTCTTTATCAGACAACAGATTCTTATTTAATATGTACTAATAATTAATTTCTTTTAAAAGAAGGAGATAGTCCGGGGTGGCGGTCATAAATAGGCAAAATAGTTTTACCACTATTTAGCCTATTTATGAACGCCACCCCGGGCTATCTCCTTCCTTTATAATGCAACGGTCAACTATTAAATATTCAAATTAATTTATTTTTATATTTAATAAAGGAAGTTAACCGTTTCATTATAAAGGAAGTCCGGGGTGGCGGTCATAAATAGGCTAAATAGTGGCAAAACTATTTCATTAAAAGTCAAGAATGTGTTCTTTTTATTTATTTATTTTTAGGTTATGTCATTTATTTTATTCTTATTTATTGTATATATATTATTTTTCTGTATAATTTATTTTATTTATTGTACATAGAGTGTGAATGTGATCTGTGAACTATATAATAAATGTCCTAGAGACAGATGGTAATATTAAAAAAAAAGTCAATGTTTCGACCCGAATATGCAAGTCTTCTTCAGGGCTAGAATGGACAAAATACATTTTCAGTTAAGGATCTTGTTACTTAGCTTACTCTGTCAATATTTTAATGTACTTACTGTTTATAATTTTAATAAGCTTATTCACATTGTTTATATTTTTTTTTTCTAAATATTATGTAATTTCCACAATGCTCTATATTTTTATATCTTGGCCGTTCTAGCCCTGAAGAAGACCTGCAAAGTTGGGTCGAAACGTTGGCTTTTAATAAAATAATTTTGTCACTATTTAGCCTATTTATGTCCGCCATCCCGGACCATCTCCTTCCTTTATAATGCAATGGTCAACTATTAAATATTCAAATTATTTTATAATAATATTTAATAGTCGACCGTTGCATTATAAAAGAAGGAGATTGTCCGGGGTGTTAAACAGGCTAAATAGTGACAAAAATATTTTATTAAAATCCAACGTTTCGACCCGATTATGCAAATCTTCTTCAGGTCTAGAATGGACAAAATACAACTACAGTTTAGGATCTTGTTGCTTAGCCTACTCTGTTTAAATTTTAATCTACTTACTGTTTATAATTTTAATAAGCTTATTCACATTGTTTATATATATTTTTTTTCTAAATATTATGTAATTTCCACAATTCTCTATATTTTTTGTATCTTGTTCGTTCTAGCCCTGAAGAAGACCTGTAAAGTCGGGTCGAAACGTTGGCTTTTAATAAAATAGTTTTGCCACTATTTAGCTTATTTATGACCGCCACCTCGGATCATCTCCTTCCTTTTCAATTTATTTCATTTTCACCATGTACCTTTTATAGTGTGTATTTTTTGCATCCCTGATGTAGACCAATAAAGTGGGTTGGAACGTGGCGTAAATAATAAAATACTATTTCAACATATAATATTTATTTGATCGCACCCCCGACTGACTCCTTCTCATATCATTTCTCTTAAATAAGTATGTTTATTTAATGTAAACGACAAAAGTATTCATAATCTAAAATGAATCTGGCGCCCAAACAAGAAAGACCGGGGAGAGAACATTATGCATATTTAGCAGAGAGGAGCATTAAGGCGAACAACTAGCAAACCCACTTTGCCGCCATTAATTCAATTCATCTCTCTCGCTGGTGACAAAGTTGCTAAACCTCAGGGGCGAGCTGTTATTAGGCCGAGTACGTCTGCTCTGCCCAGCTAGAGGGCGCCGATATCCCATGTTATACTTGCAGATGTGTTCCTGTTCATTATATATTTCTGAATTAATTAAGCAGTTGAACTTAACTGGAACAGCATAATCCCGAGTAATGAATTAAGGAGATTACAACGGCTGAGTAGGCATTGTAACACGTATTCCTTAGTTGAAGCCATTGCTCGATCCCGAGAAGGTTAAGTTACAAGTCTAAGCCTCTTTAATTATAAACTGGATTCCAAATGTTATCATATATAAAATTAAATGTATATGAAAAATTAGGCACTTAGTACTATTGAATGTAGTGTTGCCCAAAATCGGATATTTTTTTATAATAGAAGATAAATATGGGTCACAAGATAAAAGTAAGTAATGTATTATATCGCTCATTGTTGCTTATTCATTGATTTTCCATGAATGGATTTCTCTAAGCTAGGGTTTTTTAGTTATTTTCAATCATAGCTTTCTTCAGAAGGGGTTTTCGCAAAAAAGTAATCGAATATTTTCTTCTTAAAATTAAATTTTCTATGAGATGGTATTTTGAAATTTTTATTAGTTCGGAAAATACCTAAAATTTAGTTTTCCTTTTTTAGCTCCAATATGTACTTAACTTAAATCCTCTTTACAAACTCTTATCTCAAAGTTTTCGTATTATGATTTTTATAAAAAAGTTTCGGCTGATTTAGATTATTCAAAGTGATTATCAATATAATTAATTATACACCTACATATTTGAAATGAACTGTTGCATAACTGATAAAGGAATGTAAATAAAATTTAAAAAATGCATTGACATACTGACTTATGCTATACGACATAATTCAACGAAAAGAAGCTGGAAAAACAGTTACGAGGGATGGTAAAATTCAATTCCGAATAACTAAAAAAGTATACACTTTTGTATACTGTTTGTTGTTGAAATACAGTTTTTTTAAAAGTTTACGAAATTTCGTAAAAAAAAAAAAAAAATCATTAAAATCAGGTAATTAGGAACAAATATCTCTAGTTTTTTTTTATATGTTCTGCTGCAAAATTTATATTCTTTGTTTTGGTTTTTGAATTTTGAATGTGTTACTGAAGTAATGCTAATTTTTTTAGCATATTACTAATGATTAAAAAAAAGTCCAATAATTGGAATCAGATTTCATCTATTTTTCTGTGTAACTAGAAAGGTAATGTTACATTAGATGTATAATTGTTTCGAAATAATAAACTATGGTGAAATAATTTGCAGCGTTTTTATAATATTTTTTCCAACTGGTAAATAACAAAGAATAGTACTAAAGTTTATATTTTTAAGATTACCTTTAGTTCGATGTAAATGCCATATAAATAAACTTATTATTATATTATATAAAATGATTTAAACTTTAAATCATATTCATCCGTTTTGAATACAACGTCAGGATGTCTTACCTCTTTGGCCGAAACCGCTTTGCCAGGAGCGACCTCAAGATGTTTC